GCAATAAAGCATCAGGAAAAAAATCGTAAAATAAAACATCGAGCCTTAATTAATTAAATAATATAAATGAATTAAAATTTTTTTAACAAATTGAATATTTGATTGTCAATTTGACTTGTCAAACGAATATTGATAAGTATTAAAATATTGTATTTAAATTAGTTAATACACAAGGGTTACTTTGAAGTTAGCGAGAGAGATCATTTCATACACTTCATACTTTTTAACAATTTTATTTCCTACTCTTATATAAGCTATAAAAAAATTTCTTATACCAATAATTACACTTATAGCTGATATGATAATTATATAATCAAATATGATACAATTATACTAATAAGATAATCAGATAAAAAAATATTTTTTAAGAAAGTGGTTTTAAAAAAAAATTATTATTATTCTTTTTTTAATAATGAAATGTTTAATAATTTTTTTAATATTTTTGACTTATTATAAGATTAACACCCTGAGAGGATATTGGTAATTACTATATATTGTAGTAGATAAAATATAGCATTTTAAAAATTTATTTCCGCATACTACAATTTAATCCTTGAATATTAACTAATTTTGTTAAAAAATATATAGTTGCGTTTTAATACATACATTAAATTTGGGTTCAACGACCTGAATGGAATGGGTTGTTAAATTTAAATAATTTTTAAAGAAAATAACACTTTTCCACCATTTTGTGTGTCGGTTTTCTATTGTGATCTTAAAGGTCTTTATTTTTATTATTATTTTTTTTTTAGCGTTTTTGTTCTATGATTCTCTTTTACGAAATTAATTTTGTCTCGAGAAAATTATTTTTAACAAAATATTTTCCTATCATTGAATCTAATTGAGATAGATCAGATTTAGCTAAAAAAAATTGTTGTTGTTATAACAAAGTTGTATGGAGTGCTTTGAAAGTTTAAAGAAAAGGGGTTCAGTTCAGGTGCTGTGCACGTTCTCAGACTGGAATCAAAATTATGTTGTGCAATTGGACGTGGCGTAAAAGAGCTTTATATACTTTATAAAAGGCTACATTATCAATTCAAGCCTTTTAATACTTACCGACATTGATGAAATTCGTAAGATTAGGCATATTGCTTAAGTTTCTCTCAGACAGATAAGAGGTTTTGCTTTCTTCATCTAAACTACAAAATTTATAACAAAACAATTTCATTATTTATTAAGTAACTAAATAATATTTTCACTATATTTTATCCAAAGAAAAACGTCTTTTTAAACCTAGTTAATAAATTTTATAAATGTTAGTATGCAGGGGGGATCCTAACTGATATCACATTCTTTTTCATTATTTTTTATCCCCTCTTCCCCTTTGTCACGAAAGTATTAAATTTCACTATTCCACCAACATTATTATGGATGGTCTTTACTTGTCAAATTTTTCAAAGCTTAAATTTTAAAAATAAGTATAACATGATATTCGATAGCTAGGTTTAATAAAGCACAGTTCACTGAGTAAAATGCAATAAAAAACATTAAAAAATATTAATTATTATTTTTAAATAAAGAAAGCAATTAGCTTCATATAATTCTCCGTAGGTTGGTTCGACTTAAAAAAGGTCTGTAATCACTAATGAGTCATATTTCCAGCAGCGAAGCATTATTATCATTTTTAAATTTGTGTTTTATTGAAATCTGTGAAATGTTTTTTATAACCAAGTAATCATATTTTCTATCAGGGTTTGAAGTATTTATCCGGTAGCAAAATTTACGGAGTAAATTTGTTGCACCAAGTTCAAATTTGTCTGCTACCCCGATGCAATAGTACAAAGATTATGTTTGTAAAAATTGAGCTTAATCTAATAGATATATCTCAAAATTTGCAGGGATGTTTAAAAACTAAACTTACAATTTAAAAAGTATGCATAAAATAATCCCTAAATTTTATTTTAATGAGCAATGATATTGAAAGAAAAAGATGAAATAAATTCTTACATTGTATAAATATGTAATAAACTAAAAAAAAGTTTAAGTCTTTTTTATTATTTTTATTTTGCAGTATTCTCTCAACTAAGCTTTATAATTTTGATAGACAAAAAAATCTTAGATATGCTTTATTTCCCTATTTTTCTTAATCTGAGATAAAAAGTAATCCGCAGATGCTCTGTTAATCTACAGCTGCTATTATAATCTGCAGTTCCCGCTGGCGCGATGGTGAGTTCCTACTACCGAGGGTATTTTTAACGTTTTACCAAAGTTTAAAATTATTTACAACTTTAAAATTTAGATACTAAGTTCAACAGAAAACTATTCATTGAATAAAATGAAATAAAAAATATATATATTAAAAAATAAGTAGTTTCTAAATAAGTAACTAAATTACTGCCGTAAGTTAGGAGGAAGTCGAATCTGTTTCCTGTTTAAATGAGATCGTTAAAGATAATTTTTATCAAATTAGTTAATAACAATAATAATTATAATTTCTGAAAAAGCTATTTTACAACAACTCTCTTAGAGGGGCCGCAGTCACTAACGGGTTAAATTCTAATTTTATATCAAACAAACAGAACACTATTATTTCTACTTTTTTAATTTATATATATATATATATATATATACAATTTTTTGGAATCTTTGATTACGATATATTAGTAAATTTGAACTTATATTTATTACAATGTTTGTTAATTCATTCTTCTAATAGAAAATTAAGGAAAAAGTGAGATAAAAATTATTTGTGACAATAAATGACACCCAGAAATGTGATAATTTTTATTGTCACAAAATTTTTTTATTGTAGGCCTCTCAGACCTTATTGTATTCCCCTTATTATAGGCCTTACAGACCTTATGTTAAATCAGGCACTGCTTATAGTATTTTTATACCTTGATGTTTTAGTTATAATATGATTAGATGTACTCAGTTATATCCAAAATGCGAGCAATGGACCTAATCATAAGGAACTGCAGCTTGCCGACCAATCCCCGGCCGGCCGCTCATGTCGGCATACATCAAAGCTCACGATCGGGAGTGTGCCGGGAGGAACTGATATCCTCCCTTCCGCCCCGTCACCACTACCCCTCACCCTTCCCTTAACAACAACGACGCGAAAAAGTGTAAGAAGGAAAAAAATACATTTCGTATAAAAAATGTATATAAATAAATAAATGAAAACAGGTTTTTTGATGGGCATGAGAGTTCGGCGGGATCCTTTGAAGAGGCCTTTTGTGGTACCGGCAGGCCTCGGCCAAATAGAAAAATGGCCCGTATTACATGGAGAGAGAGAGGAAAAAAAAGAAACTTTCAACTGTTCGGACCTTTTTATTTTCTGCTCCTTTTTTCTTTGCACATTCATTGACTATAGTAATTTCCACTTACGAGTTTTGTTATTATTTTTATTAATTTTTTTTTCTTAAGTCCTAATCGGTGATAACATTGACACTGGCAACGAAGTGTTTTTGTGGAGTACTTTTCTCTCTTTTTTTTTCGAGAACAAAGAACAATCCGTGTTATTACAACTTAATTTTTTTTCTTCTTTCTTTCTCTGTTTTGTGCAAATAAGCAGTGTGTTGTTTAAGAGTGTTTAGCTCTCTATTATGGTCAGTTTTTTCTTTTTCTTTTTGCGAATATCATCGATGAACTAGTGTGAAGGACCTCGCACTCCTAAAATGACGGTGGTAAAATGGGTTCGAAATGCCATCGATTTACGTAATAGATAAATAAATACAGGGTATTCGAAAACTACGCCCACTAGTCAGTTTCAAACGCCTTATCAAAATAAATTCTATTTTGCAATTTAATGATTTAATATCCGGTTGATGATTGAAACTTTAATGATTTTAGTAAGAATGAATATATATATATAATCAAAATGTAGAGGAAACATGGAAAAAATTACAGAACAATAAAAAAAGGAGGAAAAAGAAAAATAATAATAAAAATAACAAAAAACTGGAAGAAAAATCCGAAAAAGAAAAAAAAAATTATAAAAATCCGGAAAATAAAAGATATAATCTTTTTATCAGCTCACACGATTATATCCGCAAAAATTTTAATTAATTTTTTTCGTGTTTTTTTTGTATTTATTTATTATGCTATATATACACCGAAGAGCCATTACATTATGACCATCCTCCATCTATAACAATGGGTTCGCCCAGGTTTTCATGGTTTTTCACCCAGGAACAATGTTTTCATGGGGCACATTAGGATCCATAATCCTCATAGATCAATCCCTGACGTCTGTAAGCTACTTGAACATAGTTGCAGACCAGGTTCACCCATTCATGCAACAGTTTTTCCTGTGGGGGATGGTGTTTACCAACAGGATAATACACCATGTCATAAGGTTCGAATCGTCATGGATTGGTTCGAGGAACATTCTAGTGACTTTCAAGTCATGTCTTGCCCCCCAAATTCACCTGAGCTTAAACCAATAGAGCACTTGTGGTCCTACTTGGAAAACCAAATTCGTGCTGCCACGCTTATCCCATCGCAATGTGATGGAATTGCAGGACCAGTTGGTGAGCGCTTGGTACCAGATACCTCAGACTACCTATCAGCACCTTGTGGAATCAATGCCACGGCGGGTGCTAGCAGTTTTGAGGGCTAAAGGTGGTCCTACATGTTATTAGCAGGGTGGTCATAACGCAATGGCTCTTCGGTGTATATATATATATATATATATAGTTGTGCAAAATATCTCTAAATAACAATATGGTTCATTTTTAAAGATTCATTAAGTATGGTGAAAATTTTAATTGAGTTATGTAACTCAAGAAGTTTTGATTTTAATTTTTAGAGAACAGTTTTGAGTCAAGGAAACAACTGTGAGGTCAGGCATATCAAAACATAAATAGGAAGAAAAAAAAATCCTTTTATTTATTTACAGTTAGTGCTTTTCATTGATTGGAAATGAAATAAATGTACACATCATCAAATTAACTTCTTTACATTGCTTTGAACTTAAAAAAGAGTACCTTTTTATTTATATTATGCAGCAACAATTTTTTAAAATAACTAAATTTTTCTCTTTCCATAATTTTTAGCTATTACATTCGAGAGTCCAGAAGCAGCAAAAGATGGATTATTTTCTTAGAAGGTAAAATTTCATGCCTTAAAACTAGAAATTATCGAATACTTATCTATTTACTAACCATAAATTGTGTTCAACATTAGAGACCAAACGTCGAATTTTCGATAGTTTTTTTTACTGTTTTTTGTAAACTGCTATAAAAATTGTTTTATGAATAAAAATTCCAAAGGCTGGGAGAACTAAAGTATAAGAAACCTAAACGAGATAACTATTTATTCGGTGGTATCGGCTAAAAAGCTCAAGAGAACTGTAAATTAAAAAATACTATTTTTTTTTTTAAAGTTTAATTTCTCAGAATTTTTTTGGCTGATTTCAATCAAATTTTGGATCTTATTATTTAGAAATTATAGTAATATCGAACATTAAAAAAAAAGGTTTTAAAATATTATAAGAGTTTAAAATGACGTAAAATTTTTTATTCATTACTGCTCAAAATTCTTGCGATCATTAGAAAATTAAACAATAATAAAAATTACTAAAAGAAAAAAAAGAGTAGACTTTTGCATTTTTTACATAAGTATCTTTAGAAGAATGAGTTTTATATTTCTGAGCAAAGATATTAAGAAATATGTATAAAATAAAATAAACCTTAGGGGCATAAACTTTCATTCAATCTCTTGACTGAATTTTGTTTTTCAGATTGCAATTATCCCCCTTCATTGATGATGAAAAATCTGAATTCGTCAAAAAAAATAGTATTTATTCAGATTAATCAAATTTAATCTGCACTAAATAATTTCGTTGTTTAATTTTTACACCTTAAGAAGACACTTTACTACGAGTGCAACTTTTCATGGCAAATTCTATTTCACCTCCAATGGATTATATATATATATACAAATAAATAAAAATAAAATATTTTAGAACTCCTTCCTCACTACGTAATCCTGCCATAATTAGTTAGCAATTATGATAGCGTGGGAAAAAAATGTCAGCTTTTGTAACTATGTACATGGTTTACCCAGAGGTAAAAAAACTACAATATTTTTGCAGTGTACTACAACTACTTTGTTACAAATGTAGTTGAATACAACTACAACTTACTTTTTTTTAAAAATGTAGTAACGACAAACTACTTTGGAATTATAGCAACTACTTTAAGGAGGAAAACTAATTTACGCCTATGTTCAATATGGTTGTGAATTAAAAAAAAAAAAAAAATAGGCTTGCATTAAATATAAGGGAATAATTAAGAAATATTTATTCATGTTTATATGAGCCAGTGTTTCTTTTTATTCCAAACCTTTTTTTATCTTTCTTTTGAATTTGTTCATTTAACCTTCAACTTTATGCATTTTTCGACAGCGAATATTTAATTTAAGAAATGCGAAATAATCAAATACTTGCAATTTTTAAACTGTTTAATTCTCTTTTATTAACTCGAAAAAATTAAGTACGTCAAAAAAAAAAAAAAAAACGTTCTCGTCTTTTTAAATCACATCAATGTTTCACGAGCGTGCATTCGCATGTGACATTAATGATAAGTGATTTTTCATAATGGCTAGTTTGAATATTAGTTGAACGTGATTTTAAATACTTAATTTCTGTTAACGCTCAGCAACAGCCAGAGTCATTTTCATTGCATCTATTAATGGACACGCGAAGATTTGTACCCATCAAATTCGTAAAATTAGTAGCGCTAAAACCGTGTTTCTTTTCATTTAGATAAGAAACGTAAATTAGAGTTAAAAGTAGTTGCCAGGAATCGCTTCAAACTACTGTTTTTTTTTTTTTTTTTTTTGTATCACATTACTTACAACACCATTTTTTTAAAAAAACAAAAGTTGCACACTACAGTACAAACTACGAAAAAAAGTAGCGATCTCTATTTGTAGTGCGTTTCATCCGACCACTGGGTTTACCGTAGATTTACTTTTTGTATACTTTAAACTAAATATATATGTGCAAAAGAATTTGCGATGAAGGGTTTCTTGCATGGTATAGCGTCCTCTGAAAGCATTAAGATTGTATGAGAGTGGAAAATCCGATGATTAAATCATAAGTGGAGATATTCCAATTATCGCATTGTACCATGCGAAAATATTCATAAACTAGTATGTAATATTAGCTCCGGAATTAAACTTTATGCCTTAGGTAATAAATAAAACAAAACTCTTAAAATATAAGTGTCTTATGGTTCTTTCATGAAACTGATATTGTGTCAATTAGGTGGATGGTACTGTTTCGATGAAAAGAGCTGCAACAACAGATGGACCAGAAGTAGAAATCTAATGTCCTCTTCACTGTGGCCAGATACAAGGAGTGGTAAGACAGTAAGGCCATCGATATGACTTATTTCCTTTCATTTTAAATTCTAATATATAAATGAAATTCAGCGATATTATTACATAAGAATATAGTATCTTTTCATGAACACTGTTTATCAATATTTTGTGGTCGGTCTCTGAGGTGTATCATGGGTACAGGGTTCTCGAGAAAATTTCCTTCTCCGTCTAAATTGAGGTAGTGTCCCCTTATTCAGTTCTGCTGCCATCTATCCGTGGGGTTCTGAGCTAAGGCGTACTTCTACCCTTTACGTTGCTCTCTTGTCAAACGAAAGACGCACCTTCCTGACTTAATTCGCAAAATGCCAATGGCTGTCGTGCTTAGTTTCTTAAAGTGTCATTAGAAACATCAACGTATTTTTGAATCTATTTGGCTTCTGACTATTCAAAAATAGATAAATAAAATAAAATAAATAATTATTGAATTGGTTCGCAAATGAAAAGCATATAGAACTAATATGAATCTTCGCTGACACTTTACATTAACAAAAATAAAGTTTTTAATTAGTACATTTTGCTTCAAAGGCCTCAAAAATAGGCACACAGGGATTCCAGCTTCAAAGATATTTATAAAATAGAGATATAAAGAATGAAAAAAGAGAGAAAATAAAAAATTGAGATTCTAAGATTTATGAATTTAATTTTTTAAATTTTTTTTTCATAATTTGTATTTTTTTTCCTCTTTGAAATATTTTTACCCGTTTTTTGTCTCTATCTATATAAAATGTATGTATGCTTTTGAAATAAAATAAAAAGAAAAAACATTCGTTTTGCATACATTACCTTCGCTGTATAAAATAAATTTAATTTTCAGCAAATTTTTCATGTATAAATAACTTTATGAATTTATTTTGTTTTACTTACAATTTGAATAATCCACGAACTATTTACTTTTTGAACACTTTTTTTAAATTCAAAAGATTTAAATTTTTTGACACTCTCTAACTTTGCATTTTTTATTATATCTATTTTTTTAAAATTAAAATAAGTTTCTAATTAAAGTTATGAAGTGGTTTGATAAATAAGTTTCGAATCAAAGTTATGAAGTGGTTTTCACAGAATTGCTATTTTTCTTTTTATATATACGACACGCAGATTTGAGATACATAAGGTCTAGGTCGCACATTCGACCCATTTCAAATATGCACATTCTATCTCAGGAGTATCAAAGAATTTTTAAATTTTAGAGGGAAAAAAATCAAGCTTAGGCATTATATTGTTTTTATTAAATGCTTCATATAGCACTTTTAATGAATATAATTTTTAATGTATTGCAGTTGGTGGTATTATGTCTCCTGATCCAGAAGAGAATCCTTATTGGTGGGATGCCAATCAAATGTAAGTGATTATTTGTCACTGTATAAAACTCTAATATAACTTCTTTTTTTTTAGGAAAAAAATATATATACAAACTAAAGGACGTAATACCGAGGGAGAAACTTTTTATGGCAAATTCTGTCTCATCTTCATTGGAATTTTAAAATGTAACTCTTATCGGACCAATGTCACATACAACCGGCTAGCTTTTTACTTCATTAGTCAAATACTACTGACAGCAAAAACCATTTTATTATTTTTATCACATTTATTGTTGTCATATTTGCAATTTATTTAATTTTTTCTTATCCATGTAACGCAAATGCTGGTTAGTTCTATCAAAATTACAAGGTTGCGGAGATGAACATTATTAAACCCAAAATTAGATTGGTTTTTCAACGAAGGTTAATAACAGAAAATTAATTTTATTGTAATTAATTATAAATTATTAAAATAATACCTAGTACGAAAAAAAAAACATGAAATACTTCGGGGCCGTTAAGTGTTAAAGTTAAGAGAAAGATGAGTTCAGGTATGACTTAGAGTAAAATATGACGTTACAAATGCTAAAAAAATATTTTATAAATTTCAAAATACAAACAAACTATTGCTGGATTACATTCCGACTGTGTAATCCTGCCATACTTTGTTTGCGTTTTGGTATTTTTGAAAATATTTTTTCAGTCTTCGAAATTTCATGGTTTACCTGACGGTTTTTTATACATTAAATTAATGTGGGTAAAAGAGAATTCGTCATTAAGGGCTTCTGCCGCAGTAAAGCGTCCTCTTAACAAGTCTCTTTCCAACGTTAATTAATTGTACCGCCAGGAGTGTGTGGAATTTAAAAAATGGTTATTTAATTTTCGCGAATAAACTGACGATGGTACTTATCGCTAAAGATGCGAAATAAAAGCTTCACTTTGTTAGAATATATAAATTAGCATTTCATAACGTTTAGAAATTTTGCATTGCTTTTCTTCTAAAATTCAATAAAACTATGCGATTAATTATTTTTGAGGGATAATTTAATACAAGATAGTCCAAAATTTGATCAACAAATTGATAATTTACCATAGAACATAGTGTCTTAAATCATGTTCAGAGGGGGAAAATATCGAATAACCCATACAAGTTTCGGCATCACGTTTTAAAACAACTGCAAAAGGTACTTCCAAATTGGTTTCAGCAAAAAGGATTTATTTGATTAATTATTATAAATAATGTTCGCAGTGCTGTTCATTGACGTCATTATACAGTCTGCAATGACGTAAAAGCATTTCTCAGATGTGTTCGAAGATGCTAACATGTGCTTTTGATGTTTGTCGTGGCGAGGACAATTCGATCGAGATCCTTGCAATCGGTGTCTCGAGCCAAATCCAGTTCTTTGGATCATTTCATCGAGTTGATTCCGTACTTTAAGGGCATAATATGCATGGGGCATCATGCAAAAAACTACTTCGCTACACTCCTCCCGGCACACTTTGCCGCAATTGAGGATAGGCCTGTAGCAAAAAGGAGCAAGGTGTTTTCAGCGATTTAAACTCCCTCAATGTGGTTTTGGGACCGCATGTTCTATGTAAATTTTCATTCTATTATCTATTGAATGTATTATTCCTTCATTTTGAATTTGTCTGTAGAATTTTCGAACTTCTTGTATAAAATATTTACTGATTCGGATAATGCTGAAAAGTTATTTTTAGAGCAAAAAGTAAATTGCGGGAACATAATTTTTATTGGAATTATTGTTACATACGGGAGAAAAAAAATTATAATTGTACTAAAATATAAAAAAAAAGTTTAAATATAAAATATGTTTAAAAAAAACTCTTATACAAATGGTTAAGAAAATGCCTCAGAGAAATCCTTCAGGTTAAATTCTCTTTCACTTCCATAAGTGTCCCGCAGTGGACTGATCGTTTAGACACGGTTCCCAGCGAAGTCAAGCATCACTGGCTACAGTCAGTGTGCAGGTGGGTGACCACTTGGATCAGTCTATGTAGGGACAGAGGGTGAGCGGTATTGGTCCTCGCTAAACTGTTCTACCGTAAAGTGCTCGACTTCGCGTGCAGGTCGTTGGGCTACTGAAGCAGGGGTGCCACCCCTTCTGCAGAGGATCAAAATTGTGATGGCATGTCTTCGGATCATCCTCAGGGATGTTTCCCAGAATGTCGTCAATAGCCCATTGTGCAGCTCTAGTGCGATGTAAATGAACTACAAAAACATTTCCATAAATAATTTAAAATTTCGGAAAAGTGAATTTAAGTAAACCTAGTGAAGTTTCAAACTAAACCATCAAGTTTCAAATGTTGCAAATTTTTTTTCAAAATGCAAACAAACCAATGCAAGGCAATTACGAAGTGGGGAAGATATCCTAAAATAATTTGTTTGCATTTTGATAAAATTTTTCAGCAATTGAAACTTGATCGTTTACTCAAGATTTACATGAACTTTATTTTCTCTAAATTTTAAAATACAGTGAATTCGCGATAACTCGAATCTGATAGCACTGACGAAAAACTTCGACATATCGGAAGTTCGACTTACCGTTAGTTTCGGTCTTTCAAAATATTGTCGGATTATTTAATTAATGCTTATTAATTACAAATCTTCTAAATGCTTACAATATTTAAGATCATTTTTTTGACAAGCCATTTACGATAAGACTGTTTGAAGAACTTTATGGTATCCTGGTCCATCGACTGCAACTTTGCTGTTGTGTTTGGCGGGAGAAACTGCAAAGTTACTGCTTTCAAATTAGGTGGATCACTATGCGCTGTGCATTTATCCATAAAGAGTATCACTTTTCTTTTTTTAGCGAAGAATTTCCGATCCAATTTTCTTACATAGTCTTCAAATAAAACTGATGTCATCCAAAACTTTTTGTTAGACTTGTAATCCAAAGGATAAGTTTTTACATTCTTGAAACATCGGAGATTTCGGCAATTTCTCTGTCCCAGACGCATTTCCTTCAACTAGGACAGTCAAACGTTCCTTGCTCATTTTACCCCCTGAGCAGTTTTCATCTTTAAACATCATAGTCTTATTTGGAAGACATTTAAAAAATAACCTATTTCATCAATATTGAAAACATTAAAAGATCCACACAAAAAATCGAGTTAAAGGGAGTAAAATTCGAGTAATCGAGAATAATTAACATGAAATTGAAGATAAAAGGGTCGGGACCCCTTAAAAAAATCGAGTTATAGTAATATTCGAGTTATCGTACTTCGAGTTATAGCGAATTGACTGTACTATTAGAAGGGAAACAGAATTTTTCCTGAAAAATTTCTCCAGTAGTATACCGTCCTCTAAATGAATTGGATAGGAAAACCAATTTTTTCACAACAATGTTATCTTCTGAATATCTGATTTTTTTTTTCAATGGTTACTCTTGCATAAATCTCTCAGCTGACATTTCTAAAATATCTGGGACATGGCTAAAACTATTATTTTTCTTTCAGTTTCTTGCCTTATTGTTCAAGTGATTCTTGGAGTGGTGCATACTATTCAACCAAAAAGGGTAAAGAGATATTGTTTCAAAACTTGTTCTAAAATGCATTTTTTTTAAAAGTACTGTGAAAACATTTCTAAAAATAGTTTTTATTTATATATTTTCAAGAAATACAATTCAGTCATTAATACAAAGAAATGTACTATCGATTTTCCTATTATGCATATTAAAATAGATTCTTATTAAACAACAATGAATTCATTATACAAAACCGTACAAATAAAATTAATCATTATTTTTTTCTCTTTTTCAGGAGAATTTTCTTTTCTGGGATCCTTAATAGTTCTTGAAGTTGTAAAAGATTTATTGACTCAAGGACTGTTTTCTTCAGACATGTTACTTCTTGCTGGAAGCAGGTAACTCTTACTTTGTTTATTTCCTAACATTAAATGCCGTAGCAATGCAATATACCAGGGTGATGAACAACTTTGTAAAGTATAAACACGAAAATGAAAATCCGGAAACCTCTGACATCCAAACATTTTTTTAAAATTCGTGACGGAAAAAAATTAGCTTAATCAATTTTAAGACAGAGGGAAGATGCAGAAATTCGCTAGTCGTAATAATGTCGTATTAAAAATATTGATTTTTAAAATCATGTGAGGTTGCAACTCGAGAAGAACTGAAGTAATTATGCCAAACCAGGTGATTTAGACCAGATTCAATTGAATACCTGTAAGCGACGTCACGCCTGTGAGTCGAGCCTGATTGGCATTTAAATCGATGACTGCTACTATTTAATTAAGATGACATCACTTGTAGATATCCAATCGTTGCTCAAATAAACCCTGAGTGGAACTGATGTTTTGATAAAATTTCACCTAGTTATTTGTTGTCACTATGCAAACAGGACGTAAAAATGGTATGGATATTGTCAAATATCTCAAGAAATATACATCGGATCGAAAAAGTGAAAATAATCACATTTATTATTTTTAAAGGCCATCTAATGATACCAAACTCGATTCCCTTCCCTCCCTAAACCCCTGGAAGTGGGGTCAAGTTTGAAATCTTAGGCATGAATCTCTATTTTGTACTGCAGATTCGGATTCTCCAGAAAAATATAATCCTATTTGAATTGTAGGTTCTTACATTTTGCTTCATAACTGGCGCTGTTGCTGAAAAAAATTAAAAATTTTACAATTGTTTTAAATAGTAATTCGATATCCATAAGATTGAAAATAAAATAAATAAAACTAAAAATATTTCGGTATTTTTTTAAGAAAATATTCTTAGTCTAATGGGTCTCAAGATTCGACGTTGGAAATAAAATAAATGATATTCTCGTATCTGCAGGAGTGATTGTGAGCCCAAGTCAAAATTCCGGAAAATTTCTTGAGTTAAAAAAAAAAGTTTAAATTGAAAAAAAATTAAACAAGTTTTTTTTCTCCTTTTTCGTAATATTTCTTGGTTTACATAAAATATATTTAAAATTTTACACATGCCTATACCATTTACATATACCTATGATGACCTGGAGAATTAATTAAAATTTACAAATATGTCTTCCATTCTTGAGTTTATGCTTATAATAACTATTTACTGATAAAAAATGAATATTAATCACGAATATAAGCTTATAAAGTATCTGGCTCTCCCTTACAAACAAATAAACTGTGTTTTTAAGTTCCACCTTTGAAAATTTGATTTTCGGAAACTTCTGCGATCAATGATTTTTTGAAACGTCTGGACCTTCGATCTCCGGAAACTTCCGGATCACTGCTAGCGAAAAATCCAGAAATCCGGATTTTTTCCGGAGCACAATCAGCCCTGTATCTGTTAAAAATAGAAAACTATTTTTTGCCGTGTCTATTTCATCCTCCTAGTCTGATCGGTCTCGAGATTCAGGATTTTAAACAGCTTGTACCCTCTTTAATTTTTCTCAATTAGAGCCCAATCTGTGAAGCAAAATACCTAAACATAAAACTAAAATATGGTTATTTTTTTCTGGAAAATCCGAATCTGCAATAAAAAAATAGGGGTTCATATTTGAGATTTCCAAGTTGCCCTCCACTCCTGGGGGTAGGGGTGGAAAAATGAAGTTTTGTATCATTAAATAGGTTTTAAAATATATTGAATGTGTTAGATTGTCTGTCTAGTTACACTTTTCAATCCAATATATATTTCTCGAGATATTTGACCGTTTTCATAGTCAGTAATATGTATCTCAAGATTCGCCATTGGAAATAAAATAAATGATATTCTCGTTTGAAAATTAAATAAATAAAACTAAAAACATATCTGTTCTATTTACTTATTCCAACAGAATCTGAATATTTCATAACTGGAATCTACCACTTTTTCACTTTCTTTTTGAGTGTAAACTTTTTCCACTGAAATTTTTTTTTAAGCATTAGCACTCGTGATTACAATTCTATTCAAGCGAAGAAAGCAAAAAAAAAAAAAAAAAAAATTTAAAAAGTCCATCTGCTATTAAAAAATCTGGCCCCAAAAGAATATGATGAAATTCAAATGTCTAGTGAATAGCATGATTTGCCTATAGTATGCCGGTTTCAATATCGGCAATTTTTAGTTGCTAGCTACAGATGGAAGCAAAGCAAGCAATGGAATCAACCCAATCATAGTGACAAATTTCATTGGAAAAAAATTCTCAAATGGAAAATGTTGTGTTATGTGATTCAAATTTCTCTATTTTTCTTAGTGAACTTTAAAATCTTTAAGAATCAAGCATTAGTCTTACAGATCCATTTTTAAAGTAACAGAATTAAAATGTTTTATTAGGATAAAATTTTGGTTTTTCTAGCTTAAAATTATTTTAAGTATATAGTAAATACTATAAAATTTCAGTGCAACTGTTTGTGTTAATTGTCTAGTAATTTTTCTTCTTCTTTTGTCAGTGCTGGTGGGACAGGTGTTTTACTCAATCTTGACAGAGTGTCAGATTTCCTGAAAAGCATCAAGTCCAAAATAGAGGTTAGGGGTCTAGTGGACTCCGGATGGTTCTTGGACAATGAACCTTATGAGGCACAAGAATGCATGGATCCTCATACATGTGCTCCTGTCGAAGCCATCAAGAGAGGCTCTAAGTAATTATATTTTACTTTAGTGTTTAGTTATTTTATTAAATAACTTTATTAAATAGAGTCCTAAATATCTTCTGCATTGAAAGTATGTCAATGGAAATAACAACAAAAACACGTAAATTATGTTGAATTATTAAAATAATTTGTCTTGAAATGTGAGCAGCCATCAAGAGAAGCTTTTAGTAATTAACTTACTCTACTTTATTATTTTTTTTAATAAATAAATTTATTAGATTGAGTCATAAATTTACATTTTTACTAGAACAGTACAACTACTTTCATATGCTGATGATGTAATTGCTCGTTCCCTTCCTGCTCTGAAAGAGCCATTTCTTGCCCTTGAGGTGGCTGCAGGACAAATGGAATGTAGAGAAAACAAAATATCTGTTATTCTCAAGAAACAGAGTTCCAAACGCCTATCTTGAAACAGATTCTTATAGATTTGAAACAGAAAGGAGTTTTACTTACTTAGGATCAATTATTGCTATTGACAACAGAATGACTCCCGAAATAAAAAACTAACTCTATCTGGCAAATAGGGCTGATTATGGTCTGAGAAGATTTATAAAATCTGGGTTTCTTTCTAGAAAAACAAAGTACTTAATCAACAACATTCTTGTCAGGCCAGTTTTGACATATGCTTCTGAAGCTTGGACAATGACAAAACTGGAGAAAATTGTATCACAATATTTCAGAGAAAGATTTTATGGAGTATACTTGGTGGTGTAAATGAAAACAGCAATTAGAGAAAGAGATTTAACTTTGAACTGTACAAGACTTATAAACAACCTGATATTATTAAAAACATAAAAATGAAAGGAATTGGATGGCCTCTATGATTCGAATGAGTGATGACAATACAATAAAAAAAGATACTGCTTTTTAGACCCACTGGAACAAGAAAGCGGGGAAGGACGTGGTTGAGCTGAGTTGACTAGGTGGAGTCTGATTTTTTTGCTATTAATGAAAAGAATTGGAGATCTAAGATAAATCAGAAGTCGTTATGGAGAAATTTTTAGAGGAAGGCATTGGCCCACAGTGGGCTGTCTGGCCAACTATGATGATGAGTCTAGATATTTCCTGCATTGAAAGTATGCCAACAAAAATAGCAACAGGGTTAAATTGCTCCAAAGAAATAAAAAACATGACTTACTTGAAATTTTATTACTTAGAAACTATTCAACCAATTATATTCAAATTTTGTGTTTTGATATTTAAGTCAATGATGTATAAATTTGTATTCAGTTACAATTCAAGAATTTTTTTATCATTATTAAATTGTAAAAAATAATAAATATAATTATCAAAATAATAAATAATTAAAAACATTATTTTTTACCTAGAATTTTCTCGGATAAATGAATTTGTATAATTCTGTGTTGAAATTTTTTTGCTTCTCATAAAACTTTTCAGGGATACAGTGAAATACACAAAAAAGTAAACCTAACTTTTGACTGCTCTACTGACTAAAATTTTGGGATCATGTTTTCCAAATTGAGGCAACTCGCTCCATACATTTCAGGTGAAGATATTACAAATCTGTGGAAAAAAAAAGTTATTCTTATTCAGAGAAAGTACGTTTTTACACTTGATTTTGCAGCTTAAAATATCGTCGGCTCAAATTAATTAGCATATTTTAGGTAAGGCTTTCAATCCATTAAAATTGAGCCCTAATAGGTAAAAATCTGATCATTAGATCTAAAGTTATTTAAGATATTCGCTTTTTATCTTGTACTGTATATAGTGTGTATATTTATGATATGTTCCTTATGTTGATAGAGTTTTCCTTATTACTACCCACCATTTACACATTTAGAATCTGTGTGTAAAAATGCACACCCACATGCATATAAATGTGTCGCAATTTTCTATTTAAATGAGAAAAGACAAAAACTCAGCAAAATTTGGTGAATCATCATTACTGATATAGGTTTCAAAACAGTAAAATACACATCCATAAGCATCTTTGTGTAAAAATACACATCCATATGCATATAAATGTCTTGCAATTTTCTATTTAAATGAGAAAAGATAAAAACTCACCAAAATTTGGTGAATCATCATTACTAATATAGGGTTCAAAACAGTAAAATACACATGCACATGCATCTTTGTGTAAAAATACACATCCATATGCATATAAATGTCTCGCAATTTTCTATTTAAATGAGAAAAGACAAAAACTCACCAAAATTTGGTGAATCATCATTACCAATATATGGTTCAACACAGTAAAATAAATTTTTCATTTTTGACAATGGCTTTTCACCCCCTATTAAGCAAACATTAACTTCAATTTTCTTACTTTAAGTTTTGATGATTGCAATCAGGGTTTTGATATGAATGAATTTAATTTTTTCCACTTAAATATTTATTTGGTGTCTCTACGTGTGCTTACATTTGTTAATAAACTTTATATTTATCAAATAATCCAAGAATATATGTTAAGAGTGTTGATTACAGAACACCTTGTATAGTCTACAAATATTTTTTGTTAATTTTAATTTATTACAGAATGTGGGATGGCCAAGTACCCAAAAGATGCCAAATGCAATATACACAAATTGATAATTGGAGGTGTTACTTTGGATATAGAATTTATGCAACTTTACAAAGTAAGATTGGCAGTAATTTATTTGTATTTTAATTAGCAATTTAGTACAATTAGGCAGTGTGGCATGGGAAATGTTGCTTGCCTCCGTGACTGGTGTCTACCGGGTAAAGTTAAATGAGCAACACTTTTGGCATAGTGTTTGTCGTCAAGAAGAAAAAGCTAGCAATTTTAAGACTTTTTTCTTTACGTGAAACTTAACAATCCAAACAATAAAAGCTTTATTATCTTGTTTTCTAAAGAAATATTTGTTTAAATAATGTTAGAAACTCACTAATGGATCACTTAAAAAAAAATGACTCAAAAGTCACCAAAGATTTAATTTGAGAAAATTTAATGAAATTCATACTTGATAATGTTTTTTAAACAGTTGTTAGAGAAATTCATATAACTTCATATCATAGCATGAATATATATTATCTATGAAAAGTAAAGCACTTTCAGCTACAGCCAGTTTGTTGGCTAGGAGGTGAGGTCTATGAAGTTAAAGGTCCACAATTTTGAAATAAGTAAAGGCATATGATAGAGCAAATGTGATCAACGTTGTCTATTTTTACCTACCAGACAAGATGATAACTATAAAAATAAAGCAGGATAGGAATCCAGAACAGAACCATAGACTCCCACAATGACAGCTCAGTGCGTTAACTACTACAAGGAAAAGTTTCATAACAAAAAATTGAAATTATAAATAATTTTTGAGAAAAAAGAGTTGATATGGCAAATAAAATAAAAATGCAATATATGAAATATGATATGGTTATTTGTTTGTAGTAAAGCATTTTAATTTTGCAAAAGGCCGAGAAAGAGTATAACTAGTTAATGTGATAAAAAAAAGTTTTTCTTCAATTTTTGGAGAAAAAGTTTTAAAAACCATTTTTTTTGTTTGTCAAACTTTGTGCTAAAGCATTTAGTAACAAAAAAATCTTTGCTTTATACACATATTTTTGACGATGTTTTAAATAGATTCTGTATAAAGTCTAACTATGCATGTGACACTATAGGTCCAGTGTTTGTGTTCCAATGGCTATTTGACGAAGCTCAGATGACGGCCGATAATGTTGGTGCTCCAGTGTCGAAATCACAATGGGATTACATCCACAAAATGGGAATCGATATTAGGACATCTCTAGATAATGTTTCGTAAGTTTTAATTTTTTAAACATTAAATATAACAAAGTACATGCAGGGTGTTCTTATAGCAATTAAATATAACTTTATCTCTGTTTGGGCACAATAAAAACTAATTTAAGTGCAAATTTTTCTCATTTCTTAAATATTAACTAAACATTTTGCTTTTTGTTGCTGTTGATATATTTAACAAGTATAAAATTCATTTAACATCTTTTAAAGTAAAATGGTTGTTTTTTTATGAATATGATTAGAGTGACATGATGAAGAGGATTAGTAATTGCATTGAAGATGAATAGTAATTTGCATTGAAGATGAATAGTAATTTTCTATTCTTAGTAAAAAAAAAAATTTTAAAACTAAAACTTTGAAGTTAAAGGATAACACTAGGGAGTAAATTTTTTTATTTTCTGTTACATGTGATATTTTAATTGATCTTAGATACTTTTGTATCGTTGATTTCAAATCAGTTTTTCACAGCAAGCTACATAGTTACTTTTAAAATGACATTTTTAGTCTTTTTTTTGTTGAAATGTACAAGTTTAAAAACATTATATATAACAGAGAGTCACGTAAATGTTGTGACAAACTTCTAGGGGAGATAGGGCACAACAACAGAATTAAAATTGTATAGGAACCTATACTCAGGAATGTTGTATTACGCCGCTAGGGGTGCTTTCTTATTACGAACTGTTTCTTTGTATACTTCTCAACACAGTACAGGAAAGCACCCCTAGCCATGTACGATGGCATGGGTTTCTATTCACTTTTAATCCTGACAATGTGCCCTTACTCCCGTAGAAATTTTTTGCAACATTTGCACGACCACCTTATACGTGTAACTTTTTTAAACTTACACATTTCCAAAAAATATTGACTAAAAATGCAATTTTTTAAATAAAATCTGTAGCCTTTTAAACTAATACAGATTTGAAATATCCACACCTGAATTAGGCAAGATCAAGTGTTTATATAAATACAACAAAAAATTTGTTCCTTAATATAATTAATTTTAAGTACTCAATAATTTTGCAGAATATTCTATGCAAACAATGCTTGTCCTGACAGACCAATTTATAGGCTTATTCTTTGATACAATTAATCACAGAAAATAATTTGTATCAATGGATCAGAAATTATCTTTCATTAATTGATCAGAAAAAAAAGCTTTGTTGCCACTTTTTGTATGCATGCCATCCATGACAAAACTTATTAATACCTTATAAATGCTTTTTTGTATTTTGGCATTGATTCAATAAATTCCTTTAATGTATAAATTTGAATTTAAAACAATTTCTTCTTTATTTCAGTGCAGTGTTTGCTCCTGCTTGCATATCTCACACAGTGCTATCCAACAAGTAAATACCTTTTTTGTTACTCCTTAGGATGTAATAATGCAATGTTAGATAGATGAAGATTTTTGTTGAAGATCATGTTGAATGACATTTGAATTTCAATGTACAGTGTGGAAAAAAAACACCACCTTGAATAATTTTCAATCAAATAATTTTTACATATTTTGGGTTGCCGTATTTTAAGATACGTTCATTCAGAACTTAAAATATCACTCACCCCTTCAAACCATTGTGAACTTCATGTTCTAGGACTCATTCTTAATGGTTCGAGAGAGTGACCTCAATTACAAGCTAATTACTTAGTGCAGACGATATTTTAAAATATGAAATCAGACACAAAAACAGACTTCTTCTGAATAAACACCCTTTTTTTTTTGACGGATTCGAATTCCTGACTCCCAAAATATAGGAGGTAGCCACAATCTGCTAAATATGGACTCCATAGTTTGGTCATATCTCGAGAACTTTTAAACAAATAGAAAATGTTTTTTGCACATAATTACAAAATTTGTTTATTCAAAGATATATTTTACTAAATACTTATTACTTTCTATTATTTTATTAAATAATAATCAAAAAAATTTTGAATTATAAGGGGTACAAGTTTTTTCATCACTTTAATGTATGTAATTTTACATGGCAAAATACAAAATTGGAGTGAAATTGGTTGAATAGTTCCTGAGAAATCAAATTTTAAAAAAGTAGTATAGTATTCAAATTGGAATTATTTTTGGATAGACGAATTTTATAATTGTGTGCAGAAATTTTTCAACTCATTTAAAAAGCTCTCGAGATATCACAAAATACGCAAAAAAATTAACAAGGGGTCCAAAATAAAATTTGAATAAGGGATCCAAACCTTGGACCGATCTCTATATTTTGGGAGTCAGAAATGCGAATTTGTCAAAAAAAAAAAAAAGGTATGTTAATTCAGAAAAAGTACGTTTTTGTGTCGGATTGCGTAACTTAAAATATCGTCTGCACTTATTAATTAATATATTTGAGGTCACTCCCTCAAACCATTGAGAATGAGTCTCAGATTAGATCGAAATTTATTCAGAGTGATCCGTTCTTTTTTTCGGCACACTCTACATTGTTGTTGGCTGTAAAATATGAGATTATTTTTCTTAATGTGCTAAGGCTTTAATATTATCTCAAGAAACTGAAGCGGTAAATTATTATTTAAGCAAAGGAAGTTTTTCTATTGATAATCGGGAAAAGATATTTCGTAAACAGCTTCCTGATAAAGCTTAATTTTTCACAAATTTATTGAAATTTAAAGTAGAACTGTTTTTTTCAATACTGTATGAATCTGGTTTTACCAGGTGTCTCAAATATCAGTGATGACTGAAAAAATCGTTAATTATCTATATAAAAATAATACAAAATGCTTTGCCTAAAGGTAATTTTTTAAAAAAATTATTGAAACTTAAAAAAAAATAGAGTAGTGCTATTTTTTTTCAATGTTTTATAAATTTGGTTTTACTAGGTGTCTCAAATATCAGTGATGATTTAAAAAAATCTTTAATTACATAATAATATTATAATATGATATAATAATAATATAAAAAATAATCATTGTGATAAAATTATAGAATTAAAAATTACTTCCCAGGGATTGGAGGCATGTGAAGATCAACAAAGTGTCTTTGCCTCAGGCTCTTCGATGTTGGGAGCTGCAGGCTCATGAACACAATCATCACCACCATCACCCTCATCATCACCTATACGATCCCGTCAAAGAATCAATCGATTCCACAAGGTATAAAGATATTTATGGCATAATTTTGCAGTAAATGAGTACCCATTTCAAAACTAAATAATTCTGAAACAACTAGCAATAAAAAAAAGGACATAATATTCACTGTCTGATAGTTAATGTAACTTCTTACATAATCAGTTAATGTAACGTTTTGATTTCCATAAATGGCTGAGTTGCTAACAGAACAGTGGTCTGAAAAACTAAATTTTTCTCGTAGTTAAATACTTGCTACAAGTGTATTATTAATTAAATCCTTTTAAAGGTTGTGGGAAGCATACTTCACCAACTTCTGTAATTTTTAAATGCGAATGGAAGCTATTTTCCCATATTTGTTTTGGGCCTCTTCAGGAAAGATTTATAAGACTATTTATAAGATTATAAAATAATAAAGGAGCTTTGTTTGTATAAGTGTGGGTAATGGCAAATAGCATGATGTCAAGAAATGAGCTCAGTTCTTATGTTTGTTTTCCATTTGTTCATTTTAAAATTTTTCATCAAGTTTATATGTAGTCATAAATAGATAGACAGTAGAATTTATAAATTTGAATGTTTATTAGCACATAATTTCCAGTTTATGGCCAATTCTTTACAATAAGAAAAATTTTAAAAATCCCACAAAAAAGTCTAAAAACCAAGTTAACTTTAATAAATCAGTTAAATGAATTTCTTTTTATAAAACAACAGAAATCCAAAAAATATTTTAACATAACTTTACTAGAAAAAATGTTCTTATAAATAGTTAAGCAAAAGTTGAAAAGAATCTCACCCAGTATTGTTACCAGTGATTCTATAAACTGGCAGGTAAAGTATTGACAATGAAAGCTCATTCATTTCTTAAAAATAAAGAATTACGCCAATAATCAACTACAATAATTTAAATTAATTTTGATTATTTACAGTACGTAAGCTTTAAATTTTTTTAAAATTACATTCAATTTCATTAACCAGAGTTTGATACTCTATATTTTTCTCAGTCCGAGCAGTATGGTAGGCGATATGCCAACAGCAAGCCTTCGCATCAGCCGAAAAAAGCTAGAAAATAACTCAACCGAAAGTCGAGAAGACACAGATTCAATTGAGTCTGTAGTTGACAAAGAAGAAAAAAGAAAACAGAGGAGGAAAGAAAGAAAAAGAAAACGGCAAAATAGAAATAAAAAGAGAAAGAAAAATAGCCGAAAAGAATGTAAGTATTTTTAAAATATCTTGCCTTAAATATATACAGTAGAGAAAAGCTAAAAAAAAATTATTATGTTGACTCTTACATGCATTTCTGATAAAAAATATTAATATGGAACAGGCGGTTTTAAATGAACCAGTGGTTTCGATAATATCACTTGCAAATTCAATGAAATTATGTACATAGGCACCCAAATCTGCCTAACTAGAAGTCTGCTGTTTCTGATCATAAAACTAAAATGTTCAGGTGGGTTCAATAAAATATCACAATATTATAAGTAAGTAATGAAGAAAAAATTTAAGGCTCTCACAAGGTTTAATTGCTACAACTAAAAAATCTATTCTAATATTTCTATAATATAAAATTTTAGTATGAAAATATGTTAGATCATAATTTAAACACCTTTTAGAAAAATATTTTTGGAGTCATTGCAATTTTAGAGGATGATATACCACTGACGAAACCCTTCATTTAAAATTCTTTTTAATAAGTAATTTAAAATTTAAAGCGTAAAAAAAGTTAGTTAAGGGAAACCTACAGTAAACCATAAAGTTTCAATATGCTGAAAAAAATTTCAAAACATCAAAATACAAATATATAAATGTATATATAACATATATTTTAATCATAATTTTTATAAATTATGCTCACTATATTAAATCTTGCCTTCTGTGTTCCTTTTCCTATATAGCTTTCACAGTGCTTGTAATGTAAGACATGAGGTTAATATTTCAGAGGGAAATAATGATTAATTCTTTAACTGTAAGAGTCCTTTTTGAAAAACAACTTTTAAAAGAAGGTACATTATTAAAAAATAATAATTTATATTTAATAATAATTTGAAACTCAAAATTTTATTTATTATAGGATCACTTTTAATCTGATTATTTTTTAAAATTTTATTTCGGAAATGATTAAAAAAAATGTGTGACTCTAATTTTACTTAAAAAGTTTCAAAAATGTATGCTTAATAAAATCAATATTGTATCGAAAAGAATTTTTCTGAGAAATAATTAAGCATTTTATTATACAGTGTTGTATCCTACTTCCATCTCAATAAATGGATAAGTTCAGAGTTAAAGATAGTTACAATCAACTAAATATATTCCTTAATATTCTCACACTCTTAGAAACATCACTTTGATAGGTTTTCCTAAATTATATTTTACCTTTTTAATTTAAATTACAATTTATTATTAGTTTCTTTTAATAACATGACAATACTCCTTTTCTATAAAAAAGTTTTCATTCCCTTCTATCTTGCTTATTTTATTTGCTCACAAACAAATCTCATTTTATTGCTGTTTATTTTTTTTTTATAAAAGCTGTCCCAGTTAAAACTAGAATTAGTTTCTTTATGTAAATAAATCATGGAATAAATAAAATAAGTTTAATATATAAAAAAAAATAAAAAGCATTATTTTTTTCACATTAATTTTGTCTCAACCAAATAAAAAAAATTAAAAGTTTGAGGTTGCTAAGAAATAAAATTATGGTGATGGAATTGCTACATTAAGAGCAACACATTAGGTATATAAATCTTCCGTGCAATGATTGTTATAAGATGAAATTTCTCACTGAATATCAATAAGTTTAAAAAATTATACGAAGGTAAATCTCATTGCATCTAAATAACGTTTACAGTTATCAGATGATTAAAAATTAAAGCAAGTTGTTTTTAATTTAAGCTACTGTCATTTTATTAAAATATTTTTAAAATAGCTTTGTTTAATGGAAACTAAATTATTGAATGCTATTGAAAGTTTATGTAAATCAAATGTAAAATTAATTAAATATATTAGATGTCTTCCCTTTGAGGCAAAGTTTTACATTAATCGTTCTAAACATCACATAAAATTTGTTTTAGAAGCTTTTTGACTTAGATTAAAAAAATTAATAAATGAAAAAAAAAAACATTTTTTATTTATTTATATAGGCACACAATAATTTTCCTTAGAACTATATCTTGTATAATAATAGAAAATTATATGATTTTTTTATTGCTTTGCATAAATGTTATAATCCAGTCAACTACCCAGCCAGATAATAAATCCAATTTTTACCATGTTCCTTACACTGGTCAGATAAAAGATTCAGTTTTCACTGGATACCCAGACCTGTTAAAATTTTAGGATTCGATGCATCTCTAATCCATATTAAAAAAAAGTAATTCAGTTTATATTTGTTAGCACTCTGTTTCAATTGACCTCATGTCTAATATTTTCTGTGCTTAATTTCTCCCAAGGCTTCCATCATATGCATCACCACAAAAAAATTATTTGGATTTCTGAAAAATAAAAGAACCTAATCAGGGTTGTAAAGGAAAAAGTATATTATTGATATTTTGTAGCTATTTCTTAAATTTTAATTGGAAGAAATATGTAAAATAGCTTCAGTTCATAACTTGGATAAATGTTAATGACAATTAGAATATATACTATATTCTCAGATTTTTCTACCTCCTTCTTATATTTCCTATTGTACAATAAAGGTTAATAAAATATCTAATTTATTAAATTCTGTCGAAAATAGTAGAAATCTTATATAATTGGAACATTTTAGTTTACCTCTGTTGCGAATAACTTAGCGCAACGGTTCCCAAATGGTGTTCCATGGAAGAATTAAAGGGATTCCGAGTGTTAGTCTTTTTATAAGTCAGTAATGATTTTAAAAACCTGTCAATAATTTTAAATCCAATCAATAATTCCTTATTTATTTAAAATTTTGATTATGAAATTATTTAATAAGAATGTCAATAAAAAAGATATACACTTTTTTTTGAAAAATATAATTTTTCGAATAACAAAATATTTAAGACATTGTGAAAACAACATACATTTATAAAAAATTGCCTTAATATTTCCTATTGTGTTTTTCAAATCAAAATAACATAAATAAATATGTATTTCTAATAACTGATTTCAATATTTATAGCAGTTCCTTTTAGTTTCAATTTTAAATTAAAACCATATTTCAGTTTATTTTATTCGCTTTCAGTTTATGCATATACAACCAAAACATATTCATATCTAGACTAGATACAGCTCTAAGGCAGCGAATTTAAAGGTTAAACATAAAATCTAATTTGAGATCATTAATGATAAAACAATGAAAAAATTTCATTCCTTTAATCAAATATTTTCAAAATAAAGTGGTCTATTATTGGTTAATAGGTTCGCAATTGTCTTTATGTACTTCATTTAAAAAGTCAAGGTTTAGTTGAAAGAAGGTTAACACAGGAAACTTTGATCAGTTAGGATCCCATAGCTGAAGAAAATGGGGAACTGCTGATCTAGCATATAATTTTTATCCATAAAAACTACCTTAAGATAGATTTCTAGTACCATAAATGATTAAAATTGTTTTGAATGAAACGATAAAAACCAAATAAAAAAAAGAAAGGAATCTGAACTCTAATTTGCATATTGTAAGATCTAATTTGAATAATGAAAGATCACACAAACTATAGAGCAAAGAAAATTTTTTAGATTCGTGAAATAATAATATATTAAATTTGACTTAAAATGGCTTCAATAGAGAGTTCTGGCTATAAAAGGAAAAATACCTAAAAATTAATATTCTCTTAAAAACTTGCTTCAGTACAAAATAGATTAGTCATGTAAAGTTATTTTTGAATAAATCATTTATTCTTTTGTTAGCTTAAATTTTAATGATTATTTTTATTACAAAAAATATATATTTAAAACTATTTCTAACAAGATTGTTCTTTAAATTCAGCATGCACTAAATCTATCAAAAAAGTATAAACATTTTCTGACAATACACAATTGTGGGTCAGGGGGAGTAGGGAAGTTATGGCTCTAAAATTTTGTAATTATGGCATAACAGTGGCTATGGGATCAGCATTGTGCATCGATTGCCATTATTTGATCTACAAGCTGGTAACCATTGATCTGAAGTGGAATGGGCTTTAAGCTACCACTGAGGATTAAACCCTCGTTCTTCACAAATAAGTTCAATATCTTGGCTACTGAAACCTTGCAGTTACTATTAAAAAGTAATAATGCAGTAGTAAAAGCAATAGACAATAATGAGTATTAGTTGAGCAGCAATGATGGAAGTCTTTTTCCTGTGTTATCTCTTCTTCCTATTTCCCATCTGCAAAAACATTTCTATACCAATCTTTGTTCAGCAAGGAGCCATGACAAACGCTCTCTCTTTCCGGAAGACCTCAGAGTCCGGCACCGGTGGACATTGCACGAGGACCTTTGCTACCACTGGCTTGTAGACGAGTGCACCTGGCCACAGTGCAACAGAGCCTGCCCAAGACTTCACGATCCCTTTACTGGAGAAGAACTCGACTTCATCGAACTTCTCAAGTCATTTGGATTGGACATGAGCAGCGTCGCCAATGCCCTGGGGATCGATCTCGTCACACTCAATGACATGGACCATGACACACTGCTTCAACTGCTCACACAACAGACCAACAAGTAGTCATCTTTAAAAGATCAGTAAGAAGTTGAGTGGAACCATGATCACATCCATGAATCTATCACATCCATCAATCATGAAATACTATCTCAACAGAGAGTATGACAAGGCTGTTAGGTGGTATGGTATTTGAAGCTATTTAAAAATTCTGGAGTTTTAGTGTTGTAGATGTAATGATTGAGCAGTAATTGAATTCATTTCCTGTCTAGAATATTTCAAGTCCCAGAGAGAGAAAGAGTATGCTTATCAATTTATGAAAGAGAATGATATGTAAAAGTTCTATATGTAATTCCAGGAAAATGTTTTAACCTGATTTCAAATTAAAAATTTAAACTTTTAACTTTTTACAGTAAAAGTTCAGATTAAACTGAAGGGTAAACAAATAAGAACAATCAACTTCAAAATTACTTCAATAGCAAATGATAATTATTTGCAGGCTGATTAAAATCTTTTAATAAATAATAAAATCTTTTTACAAACTTAGTAAGGATTTTAAGAACATATAAAAATCAAAACCCTAATCTAAAATTGAATGTTTCTCATTGAAATGTACGTTTTCATCGCTTCTTCAGTAGTTATAAAATCCTCTGTGCTAGCATTCTGTTTTATAAAATAAATTAGATTAATTATTTTACCTAAATCCAAATAATCATTTCATTTTTCAAAGAAAGATTAAATTTAGATTTTTGAAAAATACTTTTTATTATTTATTGGATTTGGATAAATTGAATCTGCAAATCAGTCACTTACACCTCTAAATCAAGAGAGGATCCAAGCATATTGCGATACTAACTAGCTTAATCTTTTGTCCATTTGTGGAGTATGAATTCTCACTTATTATTTCTCCTAGGATGACTTTTAGGATTGTATAATTCGGCTACTTTTACAAATTCTACCTTGAATCTCAACTTTTATAGAAAGAATTATTGCTTTATCAAACATACTATCTTTGAATCTCATATTAAAAATCTACTAAAGTACTTTAAAAATAAGATTACTCACATTTTTATAGTTAGCAAAAGCATTTCACTGCTCATTGATAAGGAAAAATCTCTGCTGTCAGCAAATTTTTAACAAAGAAAATTCTGTAGCCTAGAGGCGTTGAAGGGTTTCATAGTAAAGATACATTGCCTGGCATCTAAAAGTTGGAAAAAAATTCAATTAAAAGCTTAATAAGAATTTACATATCTCAGTTTAAGTACTATCGGTTATAAGGACTGTGAAGCCAAGTTCACCAACAAAGAACAACACAAGATTCGATTTTACACTTGAAACTGGCAAGCAATAATACACATAGGCCTATCAAATATGACATTATCATGATTATTATATACAATACTTATCGAAAATAAAAATGTCGCGATTAATATTGATAACTATAATTGTGGGGTATGATAATATTTCCATCATTATTAAAAATATATCAAAAAGATAATATCGCGAATATTGTGCATAACTATAATTATTGAATATATTATTGCGAGTCTTGATAAATGACTAATTTACAAAGACTCACAATGATAATGATAAATTTTTGACGATAAAATTTGTACGATTAAAATTTGGCATATATCCATTATAGGGTATATAATGTTAATGTTGGCAGCAACTCAAAAAAGCAGTATACATGGTCTCTATAACCAATAAGTACCTTCAGTTAATAGGCGGCATGATTTTGTTTGGTATAAACTGCTTAAATATGAGAGGATTGTTGTCTTGCAAAACAGCACTGATCTCTTTTCTTTTTACTGAACAATCTCTCTGATAGATGTAGCTTTCAGGTCCCCCAAAAAAATTTGTTTCATAAAAATTTAAAATAAATGTAATATTATAGAATAATTGGACATTAGGGTCACCTTATGCCAATTCTAAAACTGATAACAAAAGTTGTCTTGTTTCGATAAGTATTAGACATTTTCACGTTATTACAAAATATAATTTCTCATCATTTTAAGGACATGAATCATTACAAATATATATAATTGCAGAAAATATCAGTGTTTAGTTAAAACCAGTATAGTAGCAATGATGTCATTAGGATATTTTTAATTTGTTTTCTTGTAAAATGTTTTTAACTAACTTGCCAATCACATCTAGATTTTAGCTACATAAATTAAAGGATCTGTTTTTATTGTAATTTCCTCAATTCAATCTATTTTAGATTTTTATTTTACTTTTTAAGAGTCCAGTTTTAAGAGAGATCTCCTTTTGAACAAAGATTGTTTCACTTAATAATAACAAATTTTTATGCAACTTTAAAAATGCAGAATCCTAATTATCCATTACACTCCTTTTTTTGATTTGAATGCAAATAATCAGAGGATGAAATTTACAAATTATATAAAATTTATTGTTATTTTCAATAAATTTTACTCCAATTTTATATAACATTTACAAAGTTTTAAATACTGAAAAAAAATCTAGTAGTATTGCTTCTGCAATACTTTGTGTGATTAGTAGATTGGTATTAATTTTATGTAAAAAATTGAGATGTAGCATTGAGAACAAGAGTTTCTTTAATTAATAAGAATTGGTTATTTTTCAGAAAATTATCGTAAAGTTGACTAATTTTATATCTGATAAATTTTAAATGAAACCACTTTGAGCCAAACTTATTTCAAAATTTCTTTTTGTTCATAAAAAACTATAAAGTTTATCAAGTTCAGACATCTTTGTTCTTTTTAAAATATGCAAGGCATTCTGTAATCACCATCCTTGTTTTGTTTGCTATTTTTGGAATATATATTTTTTGGTATTCACGCCAAAAACTAAATTAAAAAGAAAAATATTTTCAAAAAGGAGCTACATATTAATACAAGTAAAAAAAAAGAACAATGTTGAAATCTGAGAAAAAAAGCAAAATGGAACACAATAAAACCAGTTTGATTGTTTGAAGAAACTTGAGAATTTTTCTAATAATCGCATTTTTATTCCCACAGAGTGTACGTAATGGTCACTTTTAATAAATGTTTTTGAGTTCTTGTAAAAAATGGTGTAAAAAGACATGAATATAAAGAGCCAAAAATTATTATTTGAATTCCTCAGTAGCTATTCATAAAATTTCAATAGTATTTTTATTTTCCTCCTCTTTCTAATTATCATCCCTTAATGAATATACATTTTTGACAACGACTCTAAAATTATATATTAAAGGAGGTCATGACGAAACACTCTGCTCTGTATTAGTCTGAAACATTTTTAGGAAATCGTTTCAACTGGTTGTAATGGTCTAAATAAAGTTCATTTGTTAACATATACCGGTAAACTATGTTACTTTCAATGATTTCATATTTTGTATATTATTTCATGACTTTTACACTATGTATATATTTCTCACATATGATTATATCGAATTGTGTTATATTGTAAATATCACTGTTTGTCATTCTTTGTAATTAATGATTTTAGCAAATGAAATTATATATCAAATTCAAATTAATGCATAATTTCGGATTTTATAACAGTTTTAATCAAATGTGTTTTGACATAGTAATTAATGTGTTATTTATTACTGATCGTTTGTTGTACAAAAATACCAATGTAATTAAATGTTGTGTTTTTTTAAATGGCTGTATTTTTTAGTTTAATTTCTTTATACTTGCTGACCAAATGGTTTGTTCACAGATAATTTCAATCTGAGTTTTATAATTTCAATTTGAGATCTTCATATCGATAATTCTAATAATCAGTTACATTAATAATTGATGTTATATTTTTGAATTATAAGGCATTAATTTTTATTACACCATACCAAGCCATAAAAATTTGTAAGCCAAAATTTTAAGTTTGAAATAAAATTGTTTAAAAATACACAAAAAAATAATTTTAGAACATTAATAATTGAGAAGATATTTGCATATGAACTTTAATCACTACACTTCAGTTTCATTTAGAAGCACTTTCTTTCCTTATTTGCATACCCGATCAGCAAGTAAACCAAGACAGGATTTTTTTCCTCAAAAAATTTAAAATAACCTTTTTAAAGTTATAAGTTGTAAACGAGTATGAACATACAGAAGCTATGTGATTACAAACACCATATGTTTTATTTGACAATGAATTTTTTGTTGCTGTAGTTCATTTACGTCGCACTAGAGCTGCACAATGGGTTATTGGCGACGGTCTGGGAAACATCCCGGAGGATGATCCGAAGACATGCCACCACAATTTTGATTCCTTGCACAGGGAATGGCACCCCCGCTTCGGTAGTCTGACGACCTGCAAGCGAAGTTGAGCACTTCATGGAAGAACAGTTTAACGAGGACACTTTCGGTCCCTAAACAGACTGATCCAAGTGGTCACCCACGCGCACACTAACCGCAGCCAGTGATGCTTGACTTTGGTGATCTGCTGGGAACCGCGTCTTAACGATCAGTCCACTGCAGGAATCAATGATTTCATTTTAAAGAAGTAATGAAAACCGAATTTCAGAGTTTTACAGTACTTGGATTGTATTAGACAAACTTTTGCACTGTCCCTTGCAGAAACAATAATAATCCAAAAAAAAAAAAAATAAATAAATAAAAGAATTAAGAAACAAAAATTACAAAAAAGGAAAAAACAAGAAGTATAGTAAGATCTGATGGCATCCAAGATGGATTTTAAACTTGTTATTGTTTATTATTTTCCAAACAATTTTGTATGAATAAAAAAAATTACATTTTCCTTTATTAATTTTCCAGAATAATGTAAAAAAAATGAAAATCCTAATTAACTTCTGTTCTAATGATTGTATTTTCATGTACTAGGACTCAATATAAATTGTATGAGGGATTAATTTTAGATGAGCTGAAAATATTTAAAGGGTCAAGACCAGACATAAAAGTTTATTTTCTCTCTTTGTACAATCATAAAAAAACAGTCTTTTTTCCAATTCGGATTCTTGACCAACAAAAATAAAAGGAACAGTAAGAATCTGAAAAATATGGCCCTAATTGAATCTTAATTTGACGTTTTGAATATTTTGTCATATTTCAAGAACTTTTAAGTGAATCAAAACATTTTTGCATTACTATTATAAAATTTATCAATAAAAAAAATTTCCATGCAAGATTCCAAAAGATAACTCTAAGCAGATTTTACTAATTAAATACTGTTTTTTTTTATCTAATAATAGTCAAAAAATTTTTACTTTTAAGGCACATAAGATTTTATTTCATTTTCGATGGCAAAACACAAAATTAACAATTTGTGCTTTCCCCCAGAATTGATATCCAGTGATATATTGTAATTAAACTTAAAATCAGCATAAATCAAGATTTCAAGTAATTTAAATAAAAAATTAAGTTATTTAAAATAAAACACATTTTTTTTGTCACCATCTCAGAGCTAGTATGTGGAGTGAAGTAAAAAAAAAATTGTAATTATAAACTTTTTTTATTTTATTAATGTTCGGATGAAGATTTTATATATTTTAAAAACATGATAATTGATGAAAATATCATTAAAAAGCTTCAGTATAAGTGAATAAACACATTATAAATCCAACTATTAAAGGGGATAAACAGAGCTTAAATAGCTATTATCGGCATGAAATACATTCACAAATGGCATGGATAAATGATATTAATAAAAAAAATTCATAAGATAATTTTTTTAAAAATAAATTCAAATGAGATACTAATTTACAAATACTACCAACAATTAAGCATTGTTAAACGATTGCAAAAAAAAGGTACTGAATCAATTTATAGCACCACTCACAACAATAAAAAATTGAGTTAGAAATAAATAAGTAGGTTTATTTCACAATATTTACACAGCAAGATCATAGATATGTACTATCATAATAAATGATGTCCAGTGGCAACGGCCATATTGAATTTTGAGTAAATAAATAAAGTGGGTTCAGCGTGGCATACATCAAACACCTTGTTACACATAAAAAATTATGATTAATGTGAAAAAATTGTAGTATTCATAAACAATTTATTAGATTTCGAGGGAGTGCCCTCTTGATTTTCTCCAATATGCCTTTGGGATAATGGCTGGTTTTTAAGTCACTAATTACTTTACTAGTAATGAATTACCTTAGCATATTTTTCATTGCAAAGGTTACATTATTAAGTCTTCACTTTAGTATGGACACGGCAACATTCATGCTCATGAATGAACTATCTATAAATGCTTTTGCACTCAATTGGCAAGGTTTTTCTAAGAATGAACACGAGAGTATGTCCAGTCATATTATTTTTCATAGCACAATTTTTACTACATCAAATGCATTATTTGCAGCTTCTATTTAACATAAATATGATGTCTTAGTCAAATGACATTTTATTGCAAATGCTTTATTAAACATAATGCAGAATATCTTTTCATTTCCTACGTGAACATAGCCTCTCTGTAGTAAGACAATGATAGTGTCTTTTTTAACAAACTTTTATCCGTAAATGTTTTACTGCACAAATATGACCACTCTTTAATATGAACATGAAGAAGTAGAACTAGATTACCAATTTATGTAAATGTTTTACAATACACATTACATGAAAATGTTCCTTCTTTGCAATGAATATGATAGTTAGCAATCAAAAAATTATTGGTGCAACCTTAGTGGCTAACTAGACTTGGTCTCTCTTTGTTATGAATATGATAATGTGCAATAAAAAAACTATTAGTTTAATCTTGGTTAACTAGACGATGTCTCGATAAATCATTATTTAGTGCAAATATTTTATTACCACAAATCTTACATGAATTAGCAAAAAAACAATAGCATCTTTTAACCTACTTTTATCTGCAAATGTTTTACAACAACACAAAAGTACATGAATATGGCTTATATATATATATTATTTTTATCACAAGCGTCACACAAATATAATGCAGTTAGAAAAATGATACTGTTATATTTTAGAAGTTTTATTTTTTTACATCATGTGATGTTGGTGGGGCCCCCAAGTAGTTTGGGCTCTGCAGTTACAGATAACGAGTGCTAAATCTCATGGTAGCATAACTAACAAGAGGTAGCATTTAAAAAAAATTAAAATATATTTAAACTAAAGAATTTTATTAAATTCAAAGGATATATTTTTTGAAAGAGTTCAGGAAACCATCAAATTTTTACATCTTTCAGCTCCTCGCTATCAAACTGTTCAGTGTTCTTACTATCTTTTAACCAATTTTCTAACAGCTATTTCAAAGTGAAAGCAGATGGGGCCACACTGATCTTGATCAGAGAGTTTAAATATCTATATTCTTACAACAGTGGTTTTGGTAACGCCTAATATTGTTATAATATTTTTCTGAATCATTCAAATTAAATACTGAATATACTTCCAATGGCTATCTCCCTTTGTGGAGACAGGCTGAGTAACATTACTTTGAATCAAACATTGCACATTTGAATCATACAGTTCAAATGTTGAAAAGAATTTCTCTTTAGTATGGATAAGGTTAAGTTAAATTAATTGTGTCTAAAAATATTTTAAAATTAAAAGGCACATCAAGAATGTGGTTTCACTAAGAGATGGAGAGATATTGTAAGTTTAAATAGCAGTCGTAACAGCATGCGATTAGTATAATTCATACTGAGCTCTTTAAATAAGAATAATTTTGCCCTTTTATTATAGAATAATGGTAGGTGTTGTCAGAGAAAAGTAATGTAGTTATGTAATACATAAATATATATAATCAATCTATATATTAGTTGGGATGTAATGTATAGTAATGGGAATACAGTCACAACTTACATATATGTACGTCGTGACTGTATTCCCATTGTTTGGAATCTAAGGTTCTTTTTAAAAAATTTCTAGCATGAGTCTTAAAAGTTTTTATTTTTCTCTATGGCTTCATCATGCTTGGCATATTTATAATTTTATTCTTATCCAATACGGGAAAATTTCTAATGCAAGATCGGTGACCAATATGGAAATACGCCTCATGTTAACAATGGGAACTCATGATATAAATGATCTTGCTTTTGATGAGATTTCCGTATCGTGATCTGTGGCAGAATAATCGCCAAGTCTGCGCAACTTCCAGGCAGTAGCACGCGAGAAACATCACACAAAGGGACCAACTCGAAAGGTATAACTCGTAGCCACTCATGGGCAAATATCTACAGGTTTTTTAAAAAAAACATTTGCAAGTTAAAAATTTATTAGGCATCTTGGTGATTGTAGTTGGCGCGACAGATCAGGATACGGAAATATCCCCGATCTTGCAATGTTTTTCTTGGGAAAATTAACATATCTTAATCTCTTGCGGCAACTACAATTAGCTAATGGATGGAACTTGAATTTTATATATGGGTCATTCTCACGAAAACAGTCATTTTTCAGTTCATAAAATCCCAAAAAAGTAAAGTGAATAAAAAGCTCTGAAACTTTCTATATTAATAGAAATATGTAATGGCATTATAAAGAAAATATATATCCTATAAATTATACTTAATATTTAAATTAATTAATTTTTTAAATAATTAATTTATAATTAATTAATTTATA